TTTGTCTGAGGACATCTGTTGTATTTGTATCCATTTGTATGTCTGACAGAAGCTGACAAATAAAACAAATAGCATTAGCTTCAGCAAATATACTCAGCATTTATTTGCATACGAGGGTCACCCATTGCTTTTATCCAAGTATCTACATTTTTCTTACATCAGATAAAATTCAAAGACTGAAAACCATAAATCATCCTCTGGAATTTCCAGTTGCAAAACGACAGCAGATGTGTGGGACAACAAACAACTTGCTACTGAATCCAAACATAAAGACTTCCTCCTTGAAGAGTCCCTTCTTATGCTAGCAGCTGCACGCCTGTCTCTGATGTCCTTGTTGTCTTGTAGGCAGAGTCAACACAGAGACCACAGTGGACAGCCAGCCTAAAATAGCACATCTGATAGCAGGGGCTTTTATTTGTTGTCCCTCAAGTACATGACACACATCATGGCGTTATAGTATTCAAGTGAACAGATATAAGCGCACACGCAAAGTCAAGAATGAAATCAAACCAAGCATTTGATGCAAAATCATGAGTCATGGAAGATCTATTCTTAGTTTGGGGGTGTTTGTGTTTGTCCAAGTTATATGAACGTGAAGCGATGCTGCGCAAAAGGTTTAAAGATGATCAAGAATCTGCCTGGAAACAACTTGTGACTTCCTCAGCAGCGAAGTGTGTCGACTTCTCGGCACACCGTGCGTTACAGGAGTTATCTCTAGAAATAGTTTTACTGAAATCTATTCTGGTCAAAATAATTTTATACTAAACAATTAACGGTTGGTCATGTTTTCCTCCCACTTCTTGTCTTTTTCTGTAGGTTGTCCAGCAGTTTGCTAAGCAGCGCATCCACCAAACGTCTGGGAAGTAGAAGTGAAAGCATCCACTGTGCCTGACTCACTGGTCAAAACGTGCATTAAAGAGCAGCCAGGATCCGGCTGAGAAGAAGCAGGTGGACAGACGGATGGGTGCACGCGGCTGCTGTGGGTGTTTCTCTGGCAGTGTCTTAGCTGGTTGTTGTGAGGAGTGAGAACGAAGCAATCAGCAAGTATACTGCCGCAGAAATTCTTCGCAATAAGAAGCCCTGGGGTCCCAGCCATGGAGGATGCTAAGAGGAGCAGAAATGTGCATCCAGAGAACAGCTGATAACATTTAGAGTTGGGTCAAAAACTCTGTTGGAGTTTCATGATCTTCTGCTGCCATCTTGTGACTGAACGCTACCTCCCAGCATGCTTTTGTTCATCAAATACTGCACTAGTTTGACAAAACGCTCGAGTTATTTTGTTTTTAATCGACTGAAAATATTCAGCTCAAACGGCACAGCTTAAAATCTCTACAGACTTCTATTCTTTTCTTTACTTTATTTTTTTTAATCTGCAGTTGCAAATGCATGTTTAATTGTCACCAAATAATAATTTTGCATCATAAGCACTTTTTTCTGGAAGGCAGCAAATTAGTATTTAATTTTCATATTTTGTCTGCCAGTGCTTCTTAATGTGTTCACAGTATTCTTATAACAAAGAAGGAATAAAATTTAAATGAAGGCTAATTAATTTGTTTGTTTTTTATGACGCATGCATTTTGTAATTATGACAGACTAATGTTGTGCAAACCACTTTGCAGTGTGTAAAAGCGCCAAGACACCTGAAATAATGTTGTTGCCAAGAAAACAAAGCAGACTTAATGAGTGTAGATGAACCAGGTGCACACCAATTAAAAGTCACACACACGTTGCAATTATAGATAAACATATTTTTGGTTTTGATAAACTCACTCAACCCTGATGAAGAAAACTTGCGTGCATTTAAACAGCGTTTTCTGCTCATATGTTATTCTGACTGCTATGCAGATGTGTTTGCTGCAGTCTGCAGAAAAAGCACAGATGTTCCCCTGCACTGCTGCAAACACTAAAGGGGATTGCAGTTTTTCCTGACCTGCAGCGATGCAGAAGCAGGAACGCTCTACTCCAATACGAGGTTGCTGCAAGATGGACTTCCAACCTTTTAGATTTTACTCTTTACAAAAAAATAAAAATACAAAGCGCAAGAAATATTTAATTTCTGCTGACACGAAGCAAAGCAGGCATTACTGAAAAATGTCATAAATTGTGCTGCTGTTACGGCAGCCCTGAAAGTTGTAAGAAAATACTTTTTCATGTGAAATTTCATTAAGAAAACTACAATAAATTGTCACGTAAAATAAATTACAAATGTCCCTAAATAATTTGCCAAAGGAAAACTATGATTTTTATTGCCAAGCTTACACAATAGCATTAATATAAATTTCTTTACAGCAAAAAACTAGCATTTCTAATTCCCCCATTTAAAATCTGAAACAGAAAAATGTCCCCTTAATGTACTGGTTTGACATCAAAAATTGTATCAAAATTTCAATCAAAAAGGAAAAATTATCAGACAAAATTTAATACTGTGGAACTACAGAACAGCTTAAAATGTTCATTAAAATTCTGACCAGTGCCGGGACAAATTATCTTCTAATAACTAGCTGAAAGGACCCCTGAGGCACCACCACTCACTAACTAAATGAGCTCCTGACGCTTTTAAAAACTAAATGTGATGGATCGCCTTTGAGATGCAAAACGGAGTTATAATACAGCGCTTTTCTCTTTTCTTCAGCAACCTGACCTGCCTTCCTAATCATTTTATTGATCAACATTTGAATATCATCCATCACTTCTGCTTCACAGAGGAGCTTAAAAGTGAATACTTCAGATTCTTTGACTAAATACACTTTAGGCTTTTTGATATGTTCAACTTTTCTCTCACAAGAATAGATTTGGATCATCCCTCCTGAATGCAAACTCTACCCCTTTTCGACCAGCAAAATATTTGTTCTGTGCAGTTTCTAGCCTTTGTACCTTTGGTTATCACTGAAGATCAATATTTAATGATTACAAATTTAAACGATGACCTCACAGCAGCTGTCACATACCAGTAATTTGAGCTTTCTTTTGTAACCCTGCCTCAGAAAGGTTTGTGCTTCACAAAACCTGCAAAAAGCCACAAGAAGAAGTCTGAATGAAAAGCAAACATGTGGGGCTCAAACTTTAAATAAATATCAAACAAAGCTGACTAACAAGATAACATAAAATCTGAGACATATGTAATTCAATTCAATTCAATTCAAAAATACTTTATTAATCCCAAAGGGAAATTATTTGTTGTTGTAACTCGTTATCCTAGTTTCATTAAGAGATGTTATAGATGCTGATGGCTGTAGACAGGAAGGATCTCTTGTAAAGGTCCATCTCACAGTGGATCCTAAGAAACTGGCTGCAGATGCTGTCCGATCCATCCACCCAGACTCGGCTGGCCTCTCGGTTCCCCCGGGCTGTAGGAACGCCTGAATGCCGGGCAAAACTCCTCCCAGCAGTCTGCCGAACTCCTTGTCGCTGCGGACAGCCAACAGTAGGTGCCAAGGGATGATCCTGTTCTTCCACTGTCATGAGTCGTGTTTCCTGCTAGTTCCAGGATCTCAGTGGTCAGGCACTCGAGGACAGCTGGCAAGTAGATGAGAATGCTTCCACAGAACATCCTTTTCAACTCATTTGAGATTTGGGGTTGTAGTTGAGATATTACTTGAGCTTTTGAGATGTTAATCAGCTGCTGTTGGTTGTAGAAAACTGCCTTGTTGCCATGGTTACGCATCATAACAAATGTCCAAAACTAAAAAAGTTTCAGTGAAAATCCTTCCAGCTGCTCAGCATCCGATACCAGAGGAAACAATAATCCAAAAAATGTGATTTACATCCAGAAAAAGAGGAATTAAAGTTTCCAAAAGCAAAATCTCAGAATGAAATTAACAGAGCTGCTCCAACATGCAGCCACCTTGAGCGGCGCAATTCTAGAGCCATTGTAATATACCATAATTCTAGAATTATTGTTTTTTTTTGTTTTGTTTTTTTTGCAAAGTGACATTTGACAGTGTGTGCAGCAGCAGATTGCTCTTGTTTCTTTCGAGCTATGAATTTGTCAAGATAATCTACTTGATTATCTACAATTCTGTAAACAAACCAGAAAGGTACATATAAACTCATCAAGACAATATATTATTAAGAAAATTGTGGAAGAGCAACATCAAGTGCCAATTCGTCATTAAAACCATCTAAATGACTGGTTTTTATACTATAATCTTGTCATATCTTTCTTAGATGACCTTCTGGTTTTTATTGTTTTAATGGTCACAATATTGTATCACCTATTCGTTGAGAAGTGCTGCAAAAAATTGTATAAATGTAAATAAAATGTGTAATAAAATTCACAGTATCCTAAAAATAAAGGCCTTACATTCCTTAAAGAAAGCAGCCAGAGTTTTAAAATATGACCATCTTATGATGACGATGATTGTAAACAACATTGTGCACAATGTGTGACGTTGTGAGATCTTGCTGCTAGCCCTCAGACTATGTGTTGTGTGGGACTCTTGGCTACTACCACATCAAATGTTAGCCCAATATCTGTGAAAATGACCAAATAATAGCAGTTTTGTCCCTTCCAAATTCTGTTGGCTAAGTCGGCCATCTTGAACTGGGGTGGCTCCAAAAAATTAATCAGCTGTTGAAGTACATCCAGTGACGTTTTCCATAAAGCTGCATTAAAATTTGTCCAGTGGGCCACACAATATTTTGCTAACAGGCAGGCAGAGCTCACTCCAAAACGTTAACAAAGATCTTGTTGCGATCTGTTTGTGCTCAGAATATGCGTTGGAGAGCAGTCTCAGCTACTACCACGCCAAGATTTAGGTCAATGCCTGTGAAATTGACAGAGTTACAGTAATCAGTTCCTGATCAGTGGCAGTGTTGGCTAAATGTCACGTTTCCTATGTGACACATGATGATGCCACAGCTGTACAGGCAGTCACACTTGAAGGCAAAAATAGACACAAAAACAAGCCTGTTAGCAGCTGACCTAACTTCTGCTTTAAGTTCCGGTTTGAGCAAAGAAGAGGCGGGCAGGGAGGGCTTAAAAGTAGAGTAAAAAGTTTGTTGGTTCCCTTATTTCACCAGACTGAGTGTTTTAAAGGGAATGGGGATCATGTGTATCAGATGCCTGCCCTGAACCATGGCGGGTAACGGGACTTGGACAGAGCTGATCGTCTCTGAGCAGGTGGTGGTGTTGTGTACCTGCGCCCTGTCTTTTTTAGGGTCATCCCTGATCATCTTCACATACCTGGTTTGGTCAGATTTGAGGACAACCCCTAGGAAGCTGCTGGTTTACCTGTCGGTGTCGGACTGGTTGTCCGCCGTCTCCTACGCTTTCGGAGTCTGGAGGTTCTTCCGCGCCGACTCGCTCGACTGCGTCGTTCAAGGCGCGGTGTCCACTTTCGCTAACACCAGCAGCTTTTTCTGGACCGTGGCCATCGCTGTGTACCTGTACGTCTTCATTGTCAGGTCCAGCCAAAGAGTCGCCGACAGCATGGTTCTGTTTTTCCACCTTGTCAGGTTCGTAAGAGTTCAAAAGTGAACCGTAAAACAAGCTAGCTAACATTAAAAGTAGCTAAGTTCGAGATGAAAGCCGAACTGCCTGATTCTTGTTTGTTATGCAAAAGAAATATAAAAAAATTAAAACGCGACCACTATAACTTTCCTACCTGAATCATTAAAATCTAATAATTTGGTAAAGTTTGTATTAAACCGGTGAAAACGGGGATTTTAAACCGTGAAGTTGAACAACTCCAAGCTAACGCCGAACCGACCGTTTCCATGGAAACACAGGTACAGAGGGCGTGGCATAATCGACCAAATTGAGCCATAAAACTGAAAATGAGATTTTTCGATTTTTTTATTTTTTTATTTATTTTTTACACGGTATCATCATTAACTGATTGTTTGGGTGTTTAGTTTTGCTCAAGCTCATAAGGGTGTTTTTTTAAAAGCTGTGTTAGAAAACAACAAACATGCCTTTGTTTACAAAATATGTTTTTATTAGTTAATTATTTGTGGATATTCTCCCATTAAAGTTCAGAACATTTCTGAAGAGCTAACTTCCATTTGATCTTAGCCCTAACTTTTGCTTTATCACGGTCCACCTCTTCTCCCACAATATCTATTTCTGTCAGCTCTTGCCCGGACAGATTTTAGTCGCTGTTTCTTTCCAGAAAATAAGAAAACTTTGACTTTTGGCTTTTGACCTGATGTCTCTGATTGCATCGTTGTCCCACTGACTCAGGATTATTTTACTGAATCAATATCAGTCAGGGGCCGAGAAACTCATCAGTGTTCGGATGTAAACAAATTACTTGTTGGCCACAAGATGACTGCTGATTTTGCTAATTTATTACAAATAATGTACTAGACTTTTATTGTATGTAGAGTTTATTTATTTATTTATTAAAGACTTGTATGAAAACTTTAATCAAAAACACGCAAAAATTGCTAAATTTGACAGCTATAATAACTTTTTTTAAATCTCGTTTTACATGTTCGGCAAGGGTTTGTTGCACAATCCTGAACTATATTAAATGATGCATTTTGAAAGAATTTACTCGACTAGTTTTCCAGATATATTTAATGCAATTCTAAAATGGGTCCACACTCAATGTAAACAAAGCACTCTCCTGAATCCACAGGATACCATATGGAAACTTCTGATTGGCCTACATTAACGTGGTCATAGTCTGTGTAGGTAAAATAATATGGCCGGTAAGTTTAACGTTTGACCTATTTTCAGTCACTTCAACTCTTTTCATGGGTAAACAAACTCAAAGTAGCTTGTATTCAGTCACAAATTTTGCTTACAATATTTTAATTTAAGGACACGTACATCGATATGAGAAAAATCTTGTGTTGATTTAGTTTATTACTTAACGAATGCTTTAGCATTTTGTCTTTTTTTTTTTTTTTGTAGTTTGTTTTTATTCAGGTTCTCTACTGATAATAACATTTTGTTGATATAATCTGAAACATTTAAGTGTGACAAAAAAAAAGGAGCAAAAATGTCAGAAATCATTAAGGGGTGGCAACTTTTCGCACCATTGGTCGGTTAATCTGCAACGGATTACCTTGAAAATAGACATTTAAATCAACGTTTTGTGGCTTTATGACATACAAGCTAAACCAGCAACACTGACTTATGTTCGAGATGACTAGTGTTTAATGTCCGTGTCGTGTGTTGCAGCTGGGGTGTTCCTCTGATCATCACCGTCACCGCTTTGTGTCTCAACAAGATTGGTTACAATGCATCTGAGGTGTCTGTGGGGTGGTGCTGGGTCAGGATCCAAGCTAAGGATCATATCCTGTGGATGCTGCTCACTGGGAAGATCTGGGAGATCCTGGCTTATCTCACTCTCCCTGTGCTCTACATCTTGATCAAGAGACACATCTACAAAGCGGTGAGGGGTCCTCATCTGTCTTTCTGTCTTTAATGAAACAAGCATTCCTTTTAAGAAGTGCATATCGCCCACTGCCTTGCCTGTTAATGTTTTAAAAAGGGATTTTGCATCATCTTTTAGTGCTCAAAATGTGTGTTGAGGATACATTTAAATTTGTTTATTTAAATGGTAAAGTAATAGGATCAAAAATCACATTTGGTTCTTTTTTGTGTTAACAGTTGTCAACAGTTTCAGATTAAAATAAATGCCATGTCATGCAGAAAAAAATCTGTTTATAGTCCATCACAACCTTTGTCTGTATGAATTTATGAAACAAGTTCTGATCCTAAACTCTGATGCAGCACGCGGCCCTGTCTGAGTACCGTCCCATCTTGGCTAACAGGCCTCAGTCGCAGTCCTTTTCATCCATGGCTGATGTGAAGCTCACTCTCATTCCCATCATCTTCATCATACTGCGCATTTGGAGCACAGTGCGCTTCATACTGCTGCTCGCTGACTCTCGGGTCAGACACAACCCGGTGTTGGTCACACTACATGTGAGTGTAAACTAGTAATGTCCTAATTTTAGAGAAACTCCATTATTATCTTGTAGTCTTTTATCTTGGATTTGTTGTGGGAGTGTACGTGTGCAATTATTAGTACCAGCGAGTGTGTGCTCAGACTCGTGAATCATCAATGTCATCAATTTTTTGTGTAAAACTTCCCCTAAAATGTACTGAAACAGATAAAAATCTTCAAGCTTCTTGAATCGATGTTTTTAGCATCACATTGTTGCATTTTAACATTACAGGATTTGTGCAATGGTGTGAAATTTTCTTTTATCTTTTTATAAAACAAACAAAATTATTATTTTTGTCAAAAAAGTTGTTAAAGCTAAAAGAAATTAAACGCTAGCTAAATGATAGAAGAAGCAAAATGTTAATTCAAAGCCCAAAGTAGCTAAATGCTAACTGAAAGTTAAAGGAGAAAAAGGCTAGCTAAAGATCAGGAAACAGTTAACTAAAAGTATCACTACGTTAGCTAGTAGCTAAAAATATCAAAAGGTTGGCAAAGGCTAAAAGTAGAATGTTGAGAAAAGCTAAAATAGCAAAGGGCTAGCTGAAAGTTTTAAAAAGCTAGCTTACTAAAAATGTAAAAATGTTAGCTAGCTGCTAAAAAAAACAACAAGATGTTGGCTAAATGTTTTAGAATATAGCTAAAAACAAAAAAAAATTCCAAAGGGTAACTAAAAGCATTTAACAAAAACTATCAAAAGGTTGGCTAAAAACTATAGTAACAGAATACAGAGAAAAGCTAAAATTAACAAAAAGTACCAAAACATTTACTTAAAATGGTAACGATTGCAGCTTTACCCAGATGTAAGGACCAATGGGAACAGAGACTCGGAATGAATTTACAGTGTTTATTTACAAGTGACAAATAATTCAATAAACCAGGGAGGAGACTGGAACCCTGAAGAGCAAAGAGGTGATTCAGAATCTTGTAGTCGAGGGTGATAATGTTATTGCTGATTTCCTGACGATGGAGGTCGGGGTCAGACATGGGGAGGGATGACTCAAATGGTTCCAGGCAAAGGAGGTGTGGACGATTGCAGGAGTTAGGCAAGTGGTAAGATGGCGTGGAGGCAGCTGATGAGGCACAGAGGAGGATTCAGGAAACAGGAGGACATTAAGGGTAACTCAATGGAGGCATGGAGAGAAATACAAATCATTAATACTTGGTTTTAGAAATGAATAAAATGCTAGAACAAGACTACCGCTGGCAGGTAATGCTCCAGCGCTAGCTGAATGTATCCAGCAGCCTTTTTTTGCTCCTCATGCTCATCATGATCCACAGACGTAGCTGATCAGAGTCGGGCTGTGGGTGCAGGAGCTAGCAGAGCAGAACTCCCACAAAAATGTCAAAAGGCTAGAGAGTAGCTAAAAACTAAAAAAGGTTGGCTAAAATAAAAAGACTAAATAGCTAAATGTAGCAGAATGCAAAGTAAAATTAGCTAAAGCCTAGCCGTAGCCTAAGTATATGAATTGTGGCTCAAAACTAAAAGCCTAAGACAAAAGTAAAGCAAGTATAATGAAGCAGATTTCCAAAGAAAATACATTTTTAAAGGAACTAGAGAGAGCTTGATGTATTTCCCTATAGAATTACTTGTAAAGAAAGTTGAATAGGTTGAAAAATATGAATCTCCTGAACGAGCTCTTATAAATGGATGACTAAGTAGAACAAAGTACGCCGAAATAGTTGGATTGTAGAAATCAGGAATGCAGTGTGAATGTTGAATCATCATTCCCTCAATGAGATGTATTAAAGTACATTTATTAAAGGACACTCAATGCTTTGACCTTCCAGGGCATCGGCAACACGTCTCAGGGAGCGGCCAACTGCATCATGTTTGTTTTGTTCACTCAGCCGATACGCTCGCGCCTCTACACCGTGCTCTGTTGCTGCTGCTCTAAATGGCGAGCGGAGGAGCAGCAGCACAGTTCCCCACAGAGGCCTCCGCCGAACTCCTTCACCCAGAGAGAAGAGGACAGCAGCAAAGTCCAGACGGACAGATGAAACTTGGCTCTGCGATGAGTAAAGAGACTGAAAGTCTGACATGAAGGGGGCCATGTGAAAACAAGTGCCTCACAGGAAGGCTGTAGGTTCTGCAGATGCATGAACGCCTGTGTGATCTGTCTAGTTTTTGTGTTGGGAACCTGCTGCCTGACTGTAAACTGGCATACGAAGGAGCATTTAAAGCAAAAGTTCAGATCTTTTGAAGTGACATTGTCTGTCAAGGTTATGTATGATTAATATTTTACCTGTTGGAGGCTCCTCTTTGAACAACCTCATTTTGGAGAAATGGTGTAATTCTGACCCGACTGAGGATCCAACAGCTAGTCCGAGCAGGATAGGAACCAAAGTGGATTGCTGTTGTGTTCAAACCTATCTAATTTCTGGCTTCACGTGAACACTGCTTTATAAATTTTTACTTTTACTCATCAGTTTGGTCAAAATGAAACCCCCTTTATCCAAACTGAAGTCATTCATGGAGTTATCTACAACAGGTAAGATGTTAACTGTTTATTACCTTTCCACACAACTCCTGCTCAAAAGATCCCTTCCTGTTTGATCATGTTACACTATGAAAGACTAGCACTTCTGTTTCAAATGTACTGTAAGGTTATCACTGTGAATTATTTGGTTTTCCTGTTACAGTATTTATCTTCTGTTGTCTGATTGTGCATAGAAAAGTAGAAACAAACTAAACTTTTTCTACTGTGAGTCATGAACATGCTGTACCGTTTGTTTCACTGAACTATAATGCTTTAAAACATGTTGGACTCTTAACATCTATCATTTATTCTTGTCTGATGACTACAACATTATTTTTTGTTGTCAAAAAACAGCCGATATGGTTTGCTTGATTGCTGTAAATTCATTGAAAAAAAACAACAAATCTTGTTAAAAAGTTCATTTCAGTTCTGCAGGACCTTCAGTACTCTCTGCGAATGCTGTTGTTTGCTTCCTGGTTTTGTTTGTAATTAAATTTATCTGCACCAGATAATGTAGAACATTGTTTTCAGAAATATTAAAATGCTGGGATACAGTATAAACTGAATAAAATAAAATAAAAACTAATGTTTCGTTTGATCATTATTTAAATGTACTGTTTAATTGAATATAATACTAAACCATGTTTTTCATGTGCTAAAGTGAGAAACATTTACTTCAATTTTTCAACTGAAGTCATCTTATGCTGAGAAAACTTTAAAACAATGTTCCTGAAGGAATGCTTGGCCTTTAATTTTTGTGTTTAAAACTCTGACTTCTGTTCAACTTGATGGTTGCAACATATTTCATGCAGAAGTTGCAAAAGCCCATCAGATTCTGATGTATCATCACTGATGCCTTCATCACTGCTGTCAGGAGAAGAATGAACTATCATCACATGCCACGCTTCCTCCTTTGCCAACGGAGCTGCTCTGGACTGGAGCCTGACTACTTCTTTGACCCCCCCGCTGTGGGTGACTCTTTACTTGCTCCACCTCAGAAAACACACCAGAGAGGAGTGGATGACCTCCATGAACCATACATGCAGCTAATCTGCTTTATGAACTATATCACCTGCAGATGAGAATGTTTTTGTAAAAGTGGCTAAAGGTCAATTTTTCAGGCTTCGAACTATAATTTGGCGTAGCTGAGACTGATCGCCGTCACAAAAAGCGCTGTTAGATTGTGCGTTATGTTTGCACAAAGTTTTACATTTGTGGCCTGTGCTGTTAAAACGAGTAAGTTTTTTTTTTGCTATTGAGTTATTTTCAAATTCTCCATCCCAAAAGCTTCAAAATGATGCAACGTTTGTTGAAATTTGGTGATTTATCGCCTTATCTGGCAAAAAGCTAGTTTTGTTTAGGAGAGTGCCAGTTTGAATACTCCATTTTTATTGGTCTTGAATGATGTCATCAGGATTCCCAGGAAAATATATTTTTAAAAAGGGGACACCCCAAGCTTTACAATAATGCTTAACATTACATGAAGGGATTTCCCAAGTTACTGCAGCTGGCAGACCAAAAAGATTACTCTCCATCCATCCATCCATCCATCCGTTATCTTTTACCTGCTTCTTCCTTTCAAAGACAAATAAAAAGCTTATTTCTGAAGACATACCTGTTAGAAAACATTAATTTAAAGGTAGTTTAGGAAGAATATATTATATTTTAGTCATCAGGATCACTAGATGGTGTCTTTATGAATGCAAATCTCAGTTACAACAAAAAGCTATATTTTCACATTTTCTGCACCACAACTGGAACTCATTCACACTATTTTTGTCAGCACAGGTCACAAATAACCTTTTTGCAGTCAACGCTGTCAGTTAGGAAAATAAGTCATGAACCAATGGACATATTTTAATGAACCTTTCAGGGAACAATCTCTACAACTGATTGACATTTGGGGCTAACCCAATTCAAGACAGCCGCCACAGCCAACTGAACTTATAAAACACCTGGTAAAAAATGTCCAAGGTGTATTTTTGTGTTTCAGTTCCATTCGTCTACATGGACTAATACAGTCAGCCATGAGGGGGCACTGGTCCCATTTTAGATTCAACTTCTACATTTTGTTCTTGTGTCTAGCTATTAATATATATCAGTACCAGTCTGAGTTACCTTCTGGTTCACACATCGGAAGTGACCTTTATTTTAGGGGGTTTGTTCCATGCTATCAAAACTGCAAAAGAAAAAAAGAAACATTTTCATCAATATAAACAAAAAATACATTTGTTTTGTTTATTTTAGACAAATTTGAACACAAATCAATGTTTGTTCTTTAAGCTTTCCTGTTCATATGTATTTATTCTCGACAGTGTTTTAGGTCTGACATAAAATATATCTACACATAGAAGTAAGAGTTGTGCTTTGGGGAGCATGGAGTGATTTTCTGTGCATGCATGAATTGACTAATATTTCTGCACGTCATTAACTGAACAGGGCCTGAGAGTGGACGAGTCTCAGAATGATGTCTTCAGTTGGACACTTCTCAGTCAGGTCTGTTATTTTAGATATCTTTAATTTATTTTTGACAAGGAAGAATGCTTCTGTTGACGTCTAAAAAAGTAACTAGAGACGTGTGTGGTTTGATTATATGTCACGACTGCCTACCTAAAAACAGATATTTTTGTTGCTTTTTTTAACTTACTGTTTTTTCTATCTTTATGTGCGTGGACAGCTATGCAACCTTCAGAGAACATTTAGTTCCCACTGATTTCATTTCCACTGTTTACATTCAAATTATTCAAAACAACAACAACAAAATGTTTTAGCTTTGCTTTTTGTCAGAGTTATGAGGCACAAAGTACGGTTCATTCTCCCAGGCCATTAATTTACAGTAATGACAGAACACTGGACAGCATGTCTGGGAAAGCTGAGAAAAAGACTTCTGCTTATGCTGATGACATCACCAGCATCTAAACTGTATTTTTTTTATTCTTGTGGACAGCAGTGAACACAGAAGACCTATTCTCACTGTGTTTTCTGCAGGACTTAATCCATTCTGGGGACTGGCTGACTTTGAAGCACTTAAAGAAGACATTTCTGCTCTCTGCTCTGCTGGCTCTTCGCCCGTTTAATTCATTATATTCAACATTAGCTTTGAGCCATGGTGACCACTAACACAGGCTGCTCATTTGGCTGTTTCAGCAGTTTTCAATGCCAGTTCTCAAATTTACCATCCACTGCAAGCACAAAAGAGCCCTATTGAAATTATAAATCAGCTGTAGACATTTACCAAGAAAATAACACACACAACAACATAGGCACAGAAAGAGTAAGGAATGATTTACAGTTTGTTTGGTGTTTGACTATTTAGGCAATCAGCTCCTAAAGTCATCATTAAACTCAATGTATTGTGTCTTCTTCCTCTTTGAATTATGTGAATAATCACAGAACAGCAGCAGCTCCACCGCCTGTTCGCTGTTGTCATTACTACCAGCACCATTGCTGCACATATTTGTTGTGTATTTTCGTTAGAAAAACTATAGTTTCTTTGTTATGGGTTTAAATCTATAGGAAAATACCAATTTGAATGAAAGTGAAGCAAACCAAGATGGCCGCCACAGCCAACTGATGCTAGAGAAAACACTAAATGGCTTCAGTGCAGTCAGTTTTACAGATGTGCTAAAGTCTGGTGTGGTTGTTGTTGAGAGTTATTAGCAATACTCACTCTGCAAGATCTTTGCTGAAAACTTTGGCATTAACTGTTGGAGTCAACAAGTTTGTCTGTTAGCAAAATATCTTCTGCACCACTATATGGATTTTTATCATGTTTGCGTTAAGACTTAAAATACCCAGAGTTCTGACTAAGACACGAGAGACCAGTGAGATAGAATAAAGGTAAGTGGTTTATTTACAAATGTGACTGCACAGGAACGCAGGAGGGAGCTGCAGATAAATGGAGGAGACCAGATGTTGAGAGAGAGTGGCAGGACGAAACTCAAGGCTGGATGGCCGATGTTTAGTTGCAGTTATTGTTCTGTGTAGACAGCTGACGTAGAAGAGGGCTCCAAGGAGAACTCAGACTCTGGGGACTAGGCGATGGTACGAGGCGGAACCAGGACGACGAGGAAGCAGTTTCCAAGAACATGAATGGGACAATGTTGTTTGTTAACCTGTATTCACTGGTTAACTGGTCATCATTAACTTCACACAGACTCTCTCACTGGTACAGTTTCATCTTTAAATTACTTCTTGGTCTGTTGCCTTCATACATCTCCTCCTACATGTCACTCGGTGAGTGCAGCAGCGTGCGCTCTCAGGACATAATTACTTGCAGTGTCCCCTCAGTGTGGACCGAATTAGACAAAAGGGCCTTCTCCTACTCCGCTCCTGTTTCCTGGCATATCTTGCAAAAAGCTCTGACGTCGATTGTTACCTCTCTAAGGACTTTTAAACAACTACTAAGTTCATGGCAAAAAACAATGCAGACATGTTCCTGCTTTTAGCATTTTACACCGCTTTATAATGTACCTGTGCTTTTTTACGTTTGTATAACATTTCATCTATTTACTTTTCATTTTATATTCAGGTGAGTGGTGGCGCAGAGGTTAGACAAGGTGGGCCTGTGATCGGAAGATCACCGATTCAAGCCCTGGTACTGACAACATCAAAAATGTGGGTGAGGGGTAGGTGAAGCATCCACACGTGTGACTGAGTTCGCTGTGGCGAACCCTAACACAGGGAGAAGCTGAAAGAAAAAATCATCTTTTTATATGATTGTCTATTATTGTCTGTACCTCATCTGTGTCCTTTGTTTACAACAGGTCCCTCTTGGAAATGAGTCCTCGTTGTTCATTGAGAGTAACCTGTATAAATAAAGGTTGAATTAAAAAATAAAATTAAAAACAGCTAATGCATATTAGCCAGCACAAAAATGGCCACAAGGCAGTTTGTTAAAAAAAAAAAAAGACAGAGGTAAGATTAGATGTGATCTTTTGTGAGAGTCTTCCTCAACACATACCCTGATGTCGACAAAAGATTGTGCATAATGCTGTTTTCACGGTTTTGACCAAAACGGTTACATCGTAAAATAATGTCTCAACATGAGATTATCTAAACCTAAAACTCTAAGATGAGAGACGGCGGATGATACGAACTCCTTCAAGGAATGCTCGTCTTCTAATTTATTAAAAACAGTCCACCCTGCGGCTCTATGTACAAACAAAAGTTTTATCTTTGCACTGGCTTTAAGGTGTGCTATCAATAAGCAGCTAAGAGCCACAATAAATAAATCTTGTGTTTATTACACACAAAAAATCCAACTTCCTCCACCTGAGAGCACAGTCAGCTGTAATCCCAAGCTGAGCCGTAAACTGCCGCCGTGCTCTCTGATCTCATGTGCAAAGGGCACGCCGGGTCCAGCGGTGCAACAAAACAGTTATGACTGCAGATTGAGACAAGTCCATGCACAGCCATGGAGGACAGGGGGGAATGGGGGAAGGCTGTGGAGAGGACAGGGGTGAGTTAAATATCAGGTTGTGCTTATTTTGATCCATCACATCATGATCGTTATCTTGCAGGACGTTTATTGTCATGTCCGTGTATCTTGGTTATTTGTATTTGAGATCAGGTTTCTTAGTTTTGCTTTCTGTGTATTCTTGTGTTGATGTGATCGTTCTTATGTGACCTCAGTTCAGTTCTTTCCTCTCTCAGTTTAGAGCTCTGTGTTTCAGTACTTTATTGTAAGTTGTTTGGGGGATTCTTGTGTATTTTCTGTAGTTGCATGTGCCTTTTCTCCTTCACCCTCACCTCCTCGGAGTTTCTTCAATCAGTCTTTCACTTCCAACTGTCTGCACTTGGAAATCTCAGGTGCCTCCACTTTCCATTTACCCCTGCTGTATTTATTCAGTCTCTGTGTCGCCATTCACTAATTCTGCTACAATCTCATTCCTTCTATTGTGTTTTCTTTCTGTGATCTGTAAGTTTGCTGCCATGTCAGTGTGTTGTGTCTGTTATTAAAGTAAGTTTACCTTTTAAACTCCTCGACTCAAAGGAGTCCAGATATTGAACTGTTAGTGCGGCTCGTGACAACAAGAAGACCAGAATCGTCCCCGGCACCTGCAGCTGGATGTCTGTAACGACGAGGAGCTCAACAAGCTGCTGGGAGGAGCGGCCATCTCTCAGGAAGGAGTTCTGCCCAACATTTAGATGGTCCTGCTGCTCAAGAAGACTAAGAAACCCACCAAGTCCAAGAAGACACATCAACATCTGCAACCAGTTTCTTCAGATCCGTTGTAAGACAGACCACTACAAGAGATCCTTCCTGCCCACAGACATCAGCATCTAGAACAACTCTTTAATGGAACCAGGATGATGAGTTACAACATTTAATTTCCCTTTGGGATTAATCAAGTTGTTTTGAATTGAATTGACTCAGTCTGCATTCTAGGTCCATCCACCTGGGACCGTGAGAGTATGTAAAACTCAACTGGACCCAGCAGGCTGCCTCGCAGATTTGTCTGAGGAGGAGGTTTTAAAGCTTCGCATTGTGGTGAAGAGAGACATCAACCATGGTCGCCCCAATTTGATTTGTGGGCTCGATACATGCTTCTGATCTCCTGGAGAAGTATGCCCCCCATTACTGTCTAGCTCATTCAATGGGGATCTGCTAGAGAAAGTGAAGATGAGCATGCCTTGGGCCAGACCTACCTTCTCCAGTGCATCAAGTCCCAGAGCCATCATGAACTCAACAGTCAGTCTGAGCTAAACACATCCCCCGAGCTGGCCATGTCCACCAAGAAGGCCTTTGAATCTCCAAAACTGGTGACAGAACCTGAATTCCTTAAGTTAATGGCTGTAACACCAACTGAACCTCCAGATCAGAACAACACAAGGTCACGTAGCCGTCGACAGCACCATCAGAGGGGGAGGGCCCTGATGGCACTGAACTTCTCCCTGATAATTTTCAGACAGAACTCTTGCTCCCTGCCTCTGTACCTCCAGAGATAAAGTCACCTGTCATCCACTAAGATGCCAGCCGTGTCACTGCAGTCCAGAGCTCAAGATTCTTCCCTCGCCTCTAATGGTGGATGAGGAGGAAAGGAGATCTGATTATTAAACATCCATCCACCAAGAGAAGCCAAGATTGTGTGGCCAAGCAGCTCCGCTCCTCCAGCACTCCACTTCTCCAAACCTCAGCTCCTCAAGCCCTCTGAGTTTGCTGCACCCACAAGCTCCAAGCCTCCCCAGTTATTACCTGCAGCTCCTGCCTCTTCATCACATGCAGCTCCGGTCCCATTCCTCTTCGAGCCCTCTGGGTCTTCAGTTTCCCGAGCAGCCACTGATCTAAAGAGCTCCGAGCCTAAAGAGCGCTTCAAGACTCCAGTGAGCTCCAGCGTCTTTGAGGTTTCAGGAGGATGCCTCTGCACCACTTGCTTCACAGAAGGCCTAAGATGACTCCTTTTGTGGTTGTTACTGAAAAAAGTTTACCTTTAAACTCCTCGAATCAGTCTGCATTCTGGGTCCAAACTGATTCTTCCCCAACAACTTACTCCAAAGTGGAACAAACCAGTTCTGCTTGTGATTAGATGGTCTCTTTGGTACGCCCCTCCTCCATTGCCGGGCCTCTTCCTTGTTGACAGTTTTGTCAAACTGGTTGAAAACAACAAAGTCCATGCTCAATAATCAATAATCTGGTTTGTTCCACTTTGGAGTATGTTGTTGGAGGAAGAATCAGTTTTGTTGTGTGTTTCCTTGACTGATGAAGCCTTCCGGATCGAAGGCGAATCGTTTCAGCACAAAAAAAAAGAAACTGTCCAGATGACCTGACTGAAAAATGTTGGATTTTATTCCTGGATTATTGAGCATAGACTTTGAGGTTTAATATAGTTTGCTGGTGTCTCCCTAGAGATTAACTGCAGTTCTGGCACTGGCTACTCTCATATCAGCATTCGGTTCATCTTTCCAGTATGGATATAATGTGGCTGTAGTCAACTCTCCAGCACCAGTGAGCAGATTTCTACACAACCATTTTCTATTCTGGTTTGTTTTCTTAGCATGTCTCTCCCATTAGTGTCTTGTTGCCTTCAGTTCATGCAGCAGTTTTATAACAACACCTACGTGGACCGTTACGATGAACCGATGGAGGAGAACCTTCTGACTTTGTTGTGGTCTCTGTCTGTGTCCATGTACCCTCTCGGAGGCTTCTTTGGTTCTCTGATGGTGGCTCCTCTGGTGAACAAGCTGGGGAGGTAAAACTCTGTGTGTGTGTGTGTGTGTGTGTGTGTGTGTGTGTGCGTGCGTGCGTGCGTGCGTGCGTGCGTGCGTGCGTGCGTGCGTGCGTGTGTGTGTGTATGTTAGGAAAATCCTTCATGAAGCTTAAACTATGAAAATGGTCTGCAACCTGTGGTTCTGGGGCCTCATGCAGCTCTTTGGTCCTTCTGCAGCAGCTCTTTAAAGCTTTATTTAAAACTAACGTGAAACTGAATTTCATGTGTTTTTATACAAACAACAGAAAGTTTTCCTGTCTATTATTATTTTTTCACGTTTTTGAAATACGTGTAAGACAAATTGCTCAAAAATAAATACAGTATAGTAAGTCAATTTGATAAGAATTCAGGAAAAGCATGATAAGAGTCAAAGGATATTAAAATATTTGCTTTAATTTAAAAATCCAATAAGTCACAATTGCATATCCAACAAACTGGTATTTTAACTTTAACTTTACTCTTTACTGCTTCAAACGGGATGCTTAGTTAATTTTTCCACACTTAAAAAGAGGACTCACATATTCCAGTGTTTTAATTTTAATCAAAATTGTTATAAACTGTATATTTTTCCTTCTTCGTATGAATATGACTGTTGTTATCCTAAATAGTACAATTATCAACAAATGGTAAAAACCATATTATATTGGATGAGGGGCGAAACGTTTCTTTTTAACAAAAAAACGAAGTCCAGATGACATGATTCAACCTTTTTTGTTGTTCATATTATATTAGTTTTTCATGCCATCCCAACTGGCCAGAGAAGAGTCCCTCTAATAAACTCGTAAGTGGCCCACGGCACACCAGTTGATCATTTGTAGCACGTTTTGCTGCTCCGGACACATTTTATTCAAAAAAAAAAATCATTGGATGGATGTGGCTGTCACAATGACACAACTTTAGTAAACACAGAAATAGCTATGATATGACCCAGTCAGTTTCACAGACACTGCGCTGAAATCTGATGTGGTAGTAGCTGAGAGTCACTACACACACCCCAAGCACATCATGAGAAACGTTACAGTATCATGAGTGTGGGCATGATGTTTGTTTCAAGGTTTGACCAGAATAGTTAGATCTGTCATTTCATTGTATGATCTTAGTTTAAAACTGAAATAAATGCTAGACTTTTAGTCCTTTAATTATTTAATCTGTTTCACTAGGAAGGGCACCCTCCTCTTTAACAACATCTTCTCCATCATCCCTGCTGTAATGATGGGCGTCAGTGAGATTTCTGAGTCATATGAGATCATCATCGTAGCCAGGTTTATTGTGGGCATATGTGCAGGTTGGATACTTTCATTTTACATGTTTGTTTTGGATCAGGCATTATGACTGAAGATGATGGAGTTCATCCCTGCTTCTTTTTCTGCAGGTCTCTCATCCAACGTAGTGCCGATGTATCTGGGTGAGCTCTCTCCCAAAAACCTGAGGGGAGCCATTGGCATCGTACCACAGCTCTTCATCACTATTGGCATCCTCGCTGCTCAGGTGCTGGGCATCAGGAGTATCCTGGGCAACAGCACAGGTGCTAATGGTCATATTGGAAACGTTTGATAGTTTGTCTGGTTCGAAAGGCCTTTTTAAAATGCTGTTTAAAGGTGCTACAGATGTGTTTACCTCTCCATCTGTTCAGGCTGGACTCTCATGCTTGGTTTGACCGGCATCCCTGCAGTGATAGAGCTGCTGCTGTTGCCCTTCTTCCCAGAGAGCCCCAGGTACCTGCTCATCCAGAAGGGAGACGAGAATAACTCCAAGAAAGGTGAGAATCCACCCAAACTGCTTCACACAGCTGCAGAAAAACTGGATTAAAGGGGCCTTCTGTGTAATTTGTCACTCAGCGTTACAGCGTCTGCGCGGCTGGGATGATGTGGATGCAGAGATGACAGAGATGCGCCTAGAGGACCAGTCGGAGCGGGCCGAGGGACATCTGACCGTGCTGTCCCTGCTGTCCCAGCGCTCCCTCCGCTGGCAGCTGGTCTCGGTCATCATAATGAACATGGGTCAGCAGCTGTCAGGGGTCAACGCGGTGAGACAAACAAATACTCCTGTCCTTGTATATCTTTCACCGAGACAGTGTTCTGTAACTCTGGTTTTCTAACCCACAATGCATTTCTCCTTCAGATCTACTATTACGCAGACAGCATTTATGCCTCTGCAGGAGTCAACGAGAATGACATCCAGTTTGTGACAGTGGGAACAGGAGCAGTGAACGTCTTCATGACCATAGCTGCTGTAAGTACCCTGAAAACCTTGAAGGAGAGGATCTGAAATGAGCAGCCTGTCATCTGATCAGTCCAGCCGGAGTCTTCAGTTCTGAACAAGGAGCTTCTTCTCCCAGGTCTTCATCGTGGAGTCCTCAGGCCGACGACTGCTCCTTCTTCTGGGATTTGGGACCTGCTGTTTGGCCTGTGTGCTGCTCACTGTTGCCTTAAACTTCCAGGTACATTAGGAAAGCTGCAGTGTGACTTGACTTACACTGGTGCCCTCTAGTGGATAATGGTGGCTAAAGATAAAAAAAATGGTTTAAGTGTGGGTTCTTAACTTAAAACCAGATTTTCTGCAAAAAAAAAATTATACTCTATTTCTTCACTGTTTGAGACATATTGAACCGTTTTGTGCAATTTTCTGCTGTAACTACCAAAATTTCTGAACCAGAATGTAAAAATATAAAGACAAGAAAGGAAATAAATCTTCAAACTATCTCAACTTTTATCTAGTTTTCATCTCAAAAACTGTAAATCAAACATGCACCACCTTCCGATGATCTGGAGTGTTTGAATGTGTCACGTGTGCAATCCCTTAAAAATGTAAATACTTTTCATCGCCTGCAGCTCAGCCCTTCATTTTATTGTAAGATGACTTTTAGTTTAAAACTGGCATGCAGAGCGGTCGACTATATGCATTCCATCAAGGAATGCTAGGCCTTTACTTTTTAAGTTAGCTTATAACAAATTTGACGTGCCATTTAAGCTGACAATCAAATAGACTGAATGTTGCTGCCTTTTTCATTTAAAATTCAACTCTGCTTTTATTTCTCAGCTGGTTGACCTTACAGCATCACAACACTCGGATTGTAAACTATCTTATTTTGTAAATGGCAGAAAAGACTCCAGCGGGGTCTGTCTGCTTCTTTGGTATGAGCATCAGGACTTTGAAAATGCTGCACATGCACAAACAGTCATAAAACAGACTCAAAAGCCAACTTCTTTGAACAGGCTAAGGTCAACATCCTGCATGCATTCTCAACCAGACGGACTTTTATTGCTTGTCTTTTCTGACGACACACTGAATACTCCTACATTTAAAATGAAAAGCAATCAAGCATCCTAACAAACAACTCTTCTTTTAAAACACGCCCCAGGCTACTTATATGGAAGAGCGTTTTTCTTGTTTGGGGTCTGGTATGCAAACAATCCATCAATATTTAGAGCTGGATAAAACGGGTCAGCATACCAGAGCAAGTAAAGAAAGTCAGAAAGCAGACAAAGTAATGTTGGCAAATGAAGGGCTGCTGTAGCTCAGTGGTCAGAGCCATGGTTCTGTAATCCTGAGGCTGCAGGTTCAAGTCCAGGTTGCTTAAAGAAATGCTAAAATTCATGCTATCATGCAAGCTGTGGAGACCCCTGCAGAAGGGGACAGCTGAATGAAAAAAAAATCACAATATATCTGCAAATAAATTGTGGAAATTGGACATTGTTGCTGAAAAATGGATAAAAAGTTGTAAACCATTGAAGAAAAGAAGACACAAGTGTTTATTGACCAAACCGTTAAATCAGATGTGGCTGTTTCCAGCCACAGTTATGCGCAGCAGAGTATAACATTATACATCTGCAGTTCCCACCTGGTATGAGAACAAAATGATGATCTGGCATCTCTGTTTGCTGAAGTCATGAGAAATCTGAGACAATAAAACAGAAGCCCAAAACTAAAATGCAAGAATCTGCTATTATTAGATAGATGCACAAAACCAGAACTATTCTCCTCTCTGCAAACCCACAGTCCACCCTGGATCATTTTTAATTACGCAGGTATCATTAATGGGCACACGTCAGTCATTAGACAAACATGTTTCTTTTGTAAACCAGTGACATGGTAACTGGTTGTTTCTGTGGACAGGAGAGCGTGACGTGGATGTCCTACGTCAGCATCGCATGTGTCATCGTATACGTCATTGGACATGCCATCGGAGCCAGTGAGTCTGACCCACCTGTTCTTACCTACACACACGCCGATTACAACACGCTGAAGCCCTGAAGTGTTGTTTGGGTGGGGCCAGACGTGTAATCATGTTTTTCTGTAAATTAGCACTCAGTTGTTTGAGACATGACCTTTGTGGCTGTGACGCTCAAAGAGTGATGGTTTACTGTGAACGTTTTGGCTGTGGTCAACCTCACCGTGTGCTCTTCAGGTCCCATTCCCAACGTGGTGACCACAGAGATGTTCAGGCAGTCAGCCCGGCCCTCCGCCTTCATGGTTGGAGGCTCCGTCCACTGGCTGTGCAACTTCACAGTCGGCCTCGTTTTCCCCTTCATGGAGGTCAGTTTACACACAACTCTCCGGGAGCAACAGTTTGTTATTCAGACTGTAATCAGCTGCAGATGTTCCTGACAGCCTAACCAGAAAGGCAAAACACTGAGTTACTTTGGATCTCCTGTACTTTGTGATCTCTTTGGAGTGGTAACACAATGCCAAGGTGGGAAGGCATCAGCAGTGACCTTGGAGAGGTCATTATTGTTACCCATCAATCTTGGAAGAGTCAGAGGTCATTTCTAAACAATTTGGAGTGAGAAAGTTTATCCACAAGTGGAAAACATTTAAGGAAGCAGCCAGTCTTCCCAGGGCAGAACGTCCCAGGACATTTACCCCGGTTCAGACCGTGCAATTCTCAGAGAAAAAGCAACAAAGAACCAAAAAATTTACAAAGTATTTGTGACTCAGAGTTTTGGACTCATTTTGGTCCTGAATCTGGTATTAATCAGACATCTCCCTGATCTGACTGCATCATAAGCAAGCATCAAAAAATGTAGCAGATGTGAGCAAAGTTTGAAAATGTATACAGTAGTCTCTCATTTATTGTGGGGTTGCGTTCTGGATCCCCCCCACCCAAACACACACAATAAGTGAAAATCTGCGACTTAGCAATGTTATATTTATTTTAGTATTTATATATTTTTAAGGCTTTATAAACCCTTTCCACACTCGTTCAAAGTTCTAAACTCTTAAACCTATGACCTACGTCATTTTAACAACATACCCTATTTTCCGCCGTACACGTCGCGCCAATAAGTTGCATCAGTCCAAATATGTCTAATAAAGTGGAAAAATCCATAAATTAGTTGCTTTGGTGTATAAGTTGCAGGGCATGTAAATTATGCAAAAACTGCGACTTATAGGCAGAAAAAATCGGTACTTACTGTATGTTGTTGTCCACTGTTGACATCACTCTTTGTTAAAATCAGGTCTCACTTGTAAATGAGTCCCCGAGGCTCAATGGGATTAACCTGTATAAACAAAGGTTGAATGGAAAAGAAAAAGTAGCTACTAAATTTACTCACCAGCTCGGCAGAACAGCAGCAGCTCGGTTCTGCTCTGACTTGGTTCCATTTCAGCGGACCTACCTTGCTGGTTCTGGTTAGCTCTCTGGTTCAGGGTGGTACTGGTGGGCCCCAGAAGGAGACCTGACCTACGGTGGCACGTCCCCCGCTCAGAAGTCGTCATGGGTCATCTACCAGCTCTCAGATTCACTGATGGGTCTGGGTACCCAGTTCTGCTCTAGTTCTGGTCTGGTTCAGTGCAGCCCTTGAGCGCCAAGGCGCTTTTGGGTAGAGGGAACTACGGGTGGCCAGAGCGGGACCGGTGGTCCAATTGAGAGGTCCGACAGGGATGAAGAGGGTCCCGGTGTGCTCTGGAGGGAGCACTGGACCTACAGCGGCAAGTCCCTCACTAGGAAGTCCTCATGGGCTGGCTAACAGCTCTCAGGTTCGCCAATGGGTCTGGGGGTCCGGTTCTGCTCCGGTTCTGCTCCGGTTCCCAGTGGGTTCCGTGTAGCTCTCTGCATCCGCTGGGTGCCGAAGTCGCTAAAGGACCAAACTTTTTCGGATCGGATCAAAAATTTCCCTCTACGTATTTCAGCAAAAGAAACTGGGGCTTCTGGGTGGGGCACTGTTGGTTTCTGGGAAATGTAGTCCTTATGAGTGGTGATACAGAAAACTACTAAATGGCGGCGCCTGTCCGAAGTATTTTATTTTTTCTTTAACTTTTTACTGTATAGTATCCCGTACTGTCCTAATCACGTGAGTAATATTAAAGTTGACAGTCGTGTACAATTTTTTTCTCGTGTTCAGTCTTACTTTGAAAAACCACAACAGAGCGAGTCTGTGAACGTCGAACTGCAAAGTAACGAGGGACTATCCTGATGCATGCTCAATAATCCAGGTAGAAAAATCCAAAAAAGTTAAATCTGGTCCTCTGGACATTCAAAAAACAAAACAAAACAAAACAAAAAAATTTAGAAACATTTCGTCTTCCATCTGAAAGACTTCCTCAGTCTGAGGTGCTGTGTTCATCAGCTCAGTCTTATAAGAAGGTGCTATTTATAAGACTGAGCTGAACACAGCACCTCAGACTGAGGAAGTCTTTCGGATGAAAGACGAAACGGTTCTATTTTTGTTGTTGTTGTTGTTGTTGTTGTTTTGCTTTGTTTTGTTTTTTGAATGTCCAGAGGACCAGATTTAACTATTTTGGATAACGAGGGACTACTGTATCTTTTTCTAAAAAAAAAAAAAAAAAAAAGTTTCTTTCAGGTAGTTTTGAATGTGGAACGGAAATATTTATTTGTAAATCAGTCCCATTAAAGGAGGAACAATGTTTTTATAAAATTTTCTGTGGGTTTAGTTGTTTTTGTCTCTATTAAACAGAGGCGTGTAGTGATGCAGATAAAAACATTTAAAATGAAGACAAGCAAGAGAGGAATGTGTTTAGGTAGAGACCCCACCCCCACAAAAAAGTGTTTCCATAAAACAGCACTTTAAACACTCTTCTCGTTACCTCTTGTCCAGCTGTCTCTGCCCGACTTGTTCCTAACCTTTCATTCTGAGGACAAACAGATCACTTTTCCTTTCCTCCATCTCCCTGCAGAGAGGCCTCGGCTCCTACAGCTTTATCGTTTTTGCTGTCGTCTGTCTGGTCGCGCTGATCTACATCTGGCTGGTGGTGCCAGAAACCAAGAACAAGACCTTCCTGGAGGTCTCCCAGATGTTTGCCAAGAGGAACAAAACAGAGATCAAAGTTGGGGATCTGCCTCTGAAAGACAGCACAGAAAGCCTGGAGAACGCAGAGAAGGTCACGACCTTCTGAGGAGAAACGAGGGCATTCAGGACGAGAGGAAGACGTCGCTACAGGGTGGTGCAAAGGATTTTTTTTATTTGGACTCTTTATCTTAGAAGGAATTTAAGCAAAGTCTGTGTGTGTGGAAGCTATAAATACTGAGTTGTCTCATTCAGATGCAGAGGATGTCTGCAATAAACAACCGACAAATCTCTTGTACGCCTTTTATTTATGATACAGAGATATCAACACATGAGCTGACTTATATATTTAAATATTGAGCAACTTATTTTTCATTATCATAAACATTCAAAGGCCACACCATCAACCGTGATCTTTTTTTTTGTTTTGTTTTTGCCAAGACAAGCAGCGTAGGGTTTTTAAGAGCACCTGTGCTGGTTGTCCAGCTGCACCCCACCATACAGGCTGAGCTTGGTGGTTCCCCAGCTGAACACGTTCCCTACCACTGCACTGCCATTCTTACAGGACATCTGGTTTCGGATATCTGCTGCAGACAGCACATAGTCCCATATGTTGACGTCTGTCATCTTGCCCACAAAGGCGTCATCGTTGGAGATCCCCAGTAATCCATCCTGGTCTTTGCCCAGAATGAACACGCCACCAGGGCTGATAGTGTAACTGCTTCTCAGGTACCTCTGCTCCCCCACCATGCCGTTGATCCAGAGCTCCGCCCCACCGGTGTGGGACGACCAGGTGATGCAGTAGTTCCTCCAGTCCTTGGACCTGACGTTGTGCGGCAAGTTGACAAACTCGTTGTTAATCCAGAGGCCCACTTCTCTCGCATCCGAGTCTTCGTTGATGCTGATCATCAGCTCGTTGTCGATGCCGTGGCTGGAGTAGGAGAGGACTGTGTGGCTCCCCTCCATCTTTGTGAGAACATGCATGCAGACCGTGAAGGAGTCCAAATCCATGGGGTGACTGAGGTCAGCCAGAGCGTAGCTGATGGCGTTTTTATCACTGAAGCTGAGCACCAGAGGAAACAGATCGCCTCGTTCTGAGGAGGACAGAAAAATGTGAATCGGAACGCAGAGCAAGCAACATCCTTATCGGCACCAAAGGTGAAGCTGGAATGATGACGTTTCGGCCTATGTCTGAGTGTGTCTGCAGGTGTTTAGTTCTACTGTATCATTAAATCCTTTTATAAATCAAATTTCCAAAAGTAAAATCTTGGCTGACGTCTACAACTTATCCACTTTGGAGTCAACCCAACTCTGGATGGCCATCGCAGCTAATGCACTTTAGCCCACACAGAAATAGCTATATTTAGTGAATTTTACGGTTTCTGAGCTAACATTTGGTGTAGCTGAGAGTCATTCATAACATATACTGCAAGCACTAACAGATCATTCATGATCTGCATGAAGTGGCGCATAGTTATTTTCAAGCGTTCATCAAAATAGCAAAACTTAGTCATCTTTCGACGTGAGATGACCTCACTCTAAAACTCTGAGGTGAAAGGCAGTGGGTGAAGGAATGCCAGTCCTTTAATCTAATCAGAGTTCAATCTCACTAATATTTACCATTTTTGGAAGGCCTTGAACTGGAAGTACCTCCTAAAAAGAATACAATAAAAAGCCTTGATAAGTAAATGCAAGAACCTCCATTTTTATTGCCATCAAGACAAGCAGTCACCTGATAACATGTTCTTTCCTAGAGAAGTTATCAGGCCTTCGATCTTCAGGAGCTTGGACTCGATCTCATCCTGCCGACAAAATGCTGCGGAGAAAAACACAAATTTCACACAGGCCTCACAAACTCACATCACGTCAGAGACATCATGGATCGGTGTCATCACGCACATCCTTTGCCGAGTCGTGGCAGGAATGAAGACTCAACCACACGATCGTTGAGCGGCTGGGGGACACGGTAATCATTTGACAGCGTCTTGTTGTCTATGTCCATCAGAGTGCTCTCCAGTTTCCTGATCTGATGTAGAAAACATAAAAAGAAAACTTAGTTGGATGTGTCACTCTTAATATTTCTCTCTTTTTTTAAAAGATCTAACCTGGTTATGTGAAAGAGTGATGGGTGTGTCGAACACAGTCCACATGATGCTCTCGAAACAGGGGGGCGTGGTGAGGGACCCTTCGTACCTGAAGAAATGACTGAGGTTCTCGGGGAGCATGGAGCGCACGTCAATGTTCGAGATGTTCATGGATTGACCTGTCGAGGTCGCGCAAGCATCGAACGAGACCCAGTTTCAGAGTTTGTTTGCAACGTAATATTTTATAGCTTCAGTGCTGTCATGAATGCACCTTGTGTTCATCATTGGTGGGGTCACGTGAAACTTACCGGCATACTTAATTTTGGCCAGGTTGGATATAAAATCACTGTAGTAGGTGTTTTCAAAATGGCCGTCCTGGAAGTAAACACAAGCCGTGTGAAACTTTAATCAAAAATGTTGAGTCTGGGCAGGAAAAAAAAAAGTATTTATTTGAATTCAAATTTACACCAAACGTGTCCCATATTATAAGTCAGTTACAATTTATTTAGCTTTTTTTTAATGACTGATCAAACAGAACCAAGTTTCATCTGCATATTGGGTCTCCATGGAAACCAAAAACGTAAAGCTGCTTGACTAATGTCTGAGATGTAGGTATTGCTGCTTATTTCCCTATTTTACATCAAAACTTTGTATTTATTTTAATTTAGGTGAGCCACTATGATGCTTGAAACTAAAAAAAAAAGTAGAACCAACAAGGGATTCCAGTATAACAATAAGCTCCAGTTTGACGAGTCCGTGAACCATAAAACCTGCAAATGTGATTTTAAATATTTTTCCATACAAATAGTTCATTGTTAATAATAAAGCAACAACAGAAAACAACAAAACAAGAGTAGAAAAAAATCCAGAGACCACAGTGAAGCCAAGAAGTGGCAAAGCAGTAAAATCCAAAGAGAATCCAGTCTGAGAATGAAGAAATCTGGGGTGTGCCACCAGCGGATGACAGGTGCTTCATTAAAACACACACTGGCCCATGTGATGCTAACACACGCAGACACAGGCAAATGCATAAATCACTCACTTTTCGATTGAAGAAACCCTAAAATATGGCTTCAACACATCATGTTGAGAAGGTATAAACATAATAAACACTTTGTGGTGTTCGACTTTTACTTAAACTCAAATAGAAATAATCAGTATGTAAATTCTATGATTGATGACTTTATTTTGTTCCCAAATTAATTAAATCAGCAGCAGCACTGGCAGAATGACTTTCTCTCCTCTCTCTTTTTATGAAGTGAGTTTTTCAAAGAGTTTACATGGGATTTTCTGAACAAGGCAGTTTCTGTGCTGCGTTCAGGGTGCCAGCGGTGGCGTTGCTGCAGCACTGACCTCTCAGAGAGGACAGGGAAGGAAGCGCCTCACAGATCAGAGCTGTCTGCTGAAAACAAACTCCCATTCAATCTGTCGGTCTGTCAGTGAAGACTCAGTATGATCTTCAAAGCAGCAAAGCAGGAGTGGATCACTTCAAGATCAACTTCCTACAACAGAAAAAACTCTCCCTCCTTCAGAAAGTGTCTTGATCCTGTGCAGATGTTGATGAACTGCGGTGGCAACACAAAGCAGAGGGAGTTTGTGACTCACGTACCTCATAGAAAAAAGCGAGCACTGCCAGCCCGTCCGGCTTATCTTTGGCTTCAGAAAAGCTCTTGTACTTTTCTGAATTATAATGGACAACATGGAGCTGGGAAAAAATGAACACAAAAATACAATTTAACAACAAATTAGCACAACTTAAGGTTTTGGAGTACAAATAAAAACATGGAGATCATAAAGGCTGAGATTAATAGTGGAAGGAACGTGTTTCTGTTGTGGAAGTTTAGAGAAAAGTATGAATTTTTACCCTGAACACAAAAAGAACATCATAATTTCAAATGTATGCAGTGAAATGCAAACTGTCAGACAGTATCAATTACAGCTAAAACCTCATGCTCATCATCTCACTCCGGTGGATTTTAAGCTAAAATGCTGCACACATATTTATATAAACAGTGCTGCTGGTTTATAAACCACAATTACAAAACTCCATCCATCCATCCATCCATCCATTTTCTTTACCCGTTTATTCCATTTTGGGTCACGGGGGTCGCTGGTGCCCATGTCCAGCAATCACTGTGCGAGGGGCGGGGTACACCCTGGACGGGTCGCAAGTCCATCACAGGGCCACATAGAGACAAACGAGACAAACAACCATTCACTCTCTCACTCACACCTAGGGACAATTTAGAGTTACCAATCAGCCTAACATGCATGTTTTTGGACTGTGGGAGGAAACCGGAGTACCCGGAGAAAACCCACGCATGCACGGAGAGAACATGCAAACTCCACCCAGAAAGGCCCCTGGACCGGGGTTTGAACCGAGGACCTGCTCGCTGAGAGGCAGCAGCTCTACCAGTTGCGCCACCGTGCTGCCTATTACAAAACTCAAAAATGTCAAATTATTGGAATTTTTGCAGCCATAATGAGATCTGTTTCCATTCTTGCTAAATATTTTTAAATTGTTAACTATATATATTTAGACATGCATGTTCTCAAAGGGTGTTGCGGCACCTTGTGCACCCGTAATTCCTGCAGCCTTGTCTCAAAATTCATAATAAATACAAAGCAGAAAATGAGATAAACTGAGTCCGTGTACGACTCATAGATAATGAGAGCAAGATTTAAAATGAACAGATGAAGATTACTGTGAAGGTGGGAGTTAATTCGATTTTCTTTGCTCATTTATTTTGTTTTCAGCTTCAAATTTCTATCAGTTTATCATCAGTGCTGTTTTCCGAGCCAACCTCTGCCATATAGCGGATGCCATCCACGGTGTGCTCGGCTCCGCTGGCCTCCAGGTCCCAGCCACCCCAGTGCAGGTGCATCTGGACAGCTGTGAACGTCCCCAACAGGCCTTTGGTGATCTTCATGGTGGGAGGGAGGTCGATTTGAACTGATGGCAACATGAAGATTTTATCACCAATCATGAATACTTTACAGAACAGCTGTTGTGTTTTCAGATGTTCATGGATGTGTTCTCCAACGTTCCAGGCTGCACTGGCTTCTTCTTATTGAAACAGCATTAAATAAATCCAGGGCGGCACTCATTGTTTTGTCTTATTAGGCTATTATTCATGGAAAAAGGTTGCAAAATACTTTCCTCTTTAAATCAATATAAAAAAAATTCATAATTTTGTTTACAGTTTGATCATTTCTGCACAGTTTTTGGCAATGCAGCTTTAAAGACACAAAAAACAGATTTCCAGAAATATTCCACACAACTGGAAACTTTTTAAATGAAGTTACCAGCAACTGATAAATTGTTTTCTTACAGGTAAAGCAGGAAAGATGTTGATCTTGAGTAAATTGTGTGTTTTTCTCACCTGAATGCCCGTTGTTGGACATGAGGAAAGTTCCCTTCTGGGCATCATATCCGCTCAGCTCCAGCTGTAACATGTCTGGGTTGAACCTGACGTTGCGCCGCTGGATGTCAATTGGGGACTGCTTCTTTCCTCCACACGCTGAGTATACGGTTGCCCAGTGCATCTGATCCAAAGCCCCCTCTGCGGGAAATCACATTTAGCCACACGAGGGGAAAAAACGCAACTTGGATGAGATGAATTCAGCTGTGAAAGTGCTTCTGTTTGTGGAGGATTATTAGGAGCCCCACGAGTTACCGCTCGTTAGTGTCACACACAGAACTTGTCCAACTGGTTTTTATTGCCCATCCCCAGAAATATTAACCACAGCTGTGCTACACAACAATTTTTTTTTTCTGGGGACTTTCTCTGAAGATCCAGATGTTAAGAATCTGATGGTGGTTTCTCTGAAACGCGGCGCGCGTTGGCATAGAAAGCACAAATTGCTTGAATTGATGTTAAACAAATACCAAATATATATATATATATATATATATATATATATATATATATATAGTTTGAAACAACACACAAAAAAAGTTGAATTTGTTTTCCATTTCTTTATTTTGCGCAAGGAAAAATCGGCGCAGACGCAATTTTACGCACGGTTTACGCACCAGTACCTTTACCTTTAAAGCAAAAACAAATATTACCCCTGCACATAAAGGGATATTTGGAAAGAAGCTCACCTGAGTATGTCCAGTGGATATCGTCATGGCGTTCCCCCGCACTGATCACGCAGATTAAAACGGCGGAGACAAACACAGGGAGGCTCTCCATCTCTGCGTCTCGGTTTTCACGCAGGACTGACGCTTCTTTGGAGGTTTCTCTGTTTTTAACTCTCCACTGAAGAGGGGAGGTGTTGGAAAAAGCGCCCACAGCGCCTCCCAACAACTACATAATTACTGGGGGGAAAAACTCTGCAAGACTACCTGACAAAAGTTTTTAATTTGCTTCAATAAATAAATCAGCCTTTCAGTACAAGATCACTCTCGTTTCTCGTTTTTTTAAAACCCTTAGTTTTATTTATTTTTTATAAAGGTTAACAGAAGTATCAGTCTGCAGAGGAACTCACAATAACAAGCACATTCATCAATGTCATTTTCTTAGTACAGATGCAAGTCATCCTGGGAAGAAAATAAAACAACAGATGCAAGAAGATAAGCCATCTCTGTGCTCTTATAATAAAGTTCTAAGTAAGAGCATGCATCAGCTGATGCTGCAATCTGTTACAACATGTCTAACACTTAGGGTCCAAATGCCAAAGCTGTCATTCTGAGAGGTGTGTGTGAGCAAGTGTGTGTGGGAGTAAACCAACTACCCCAAGGATATAAATCAAAAACTCTATGACACAGCTCTGAACAGTTCAAGCATTAGTGGAACTTTTTACTTTTATACATGGATTAAAAAAATAATATAAACGCATTAATTGTCTGAAAAGTGCCAAACTACTTTATCGTCCTGGGCAGATTGTTGGAGACAAATGTTTGGACATAGTTCAGCAAAAGCAATGCACAGCCTAAACGTAGAAACAAAGACTTGGTTTGGTAAAGTTTCCTGAAGGGGTCATGAACCGAGAGTGTGCCATCATCAAGACGCCTCAAACGAAGGACAAATAGACGTGAAAACAGTTTTTAGCTCTGAACCACTTGAAAACTGAACTCCTGAAAGATCTGATATGAAACTGCAAGGAGAGAAGTGTTTTAGTTTGTGAAATCCTCTTTGAAAAGGCATGAAACACAAGTTCTGAATACAGAAGTACAGAAAAGTACAGAGTACAGAAAATTCAGTCATTACAGTTTTGACCACTAACGGCTTCAATTTTGATTTATTATTATTATATTTGGAAGTATTGCAGTTATGGTTCAATATATTTTATCATGTCAGTCCTAAACAATGAGTTTGAGATCTGGAGGTTTCACTGCAAAAAGCAAAAACAAACACATATACATCAGCCACACAGATAAACTGTGGAAATAAACTTTTTTTTTTCTGTTAGCCTAATCCAGCAGTCGCTCATTTACTGCACCATGACAACATGTCAAGCAGCTCTTCATGAAAGAAACACAGACTTTGACTGAAGAAGTTGATTAAAGTGATTGTGATTTAACAGACAGCGTAACATACTTCTCCTTGTGAATTGTTGTTGCACCACCTTAATGAGACTGAGGTCTCAATCTCTGATGGAGGACATTTGCAAACAGAGGTGTACCGCAAACCCACCCACACAGACCAGTATTTGTGGTTTGACTCCCATCACCCTCTGGAGGACAAGTTAGGAGTCATCAGGACTCTGTACCACAGAGCAGACAGCGTCCCCACTAAATCAGGAGCCAGGCAGAAGGAGAAATCCCACACAAGACAGGCCCTGGAACAATGTGGATATCCTAACTGGGCCTTCCTGAAAGCAGAGAAGAAACCCAAACAGGTCAGTTAGCCATCAGGTGAAAAGGAGGAACCCAGACCCAGAGCAGTGGTCATTCCATATGTTGCAGGAGTTTCAGAGAAACTGAGATGTTTCTAATAACGTCCCAGTGGCTTTTAAACCCCAAAATACATTACAGCAAAGACTGGTTCATCACAAAGATCCAGTCCCCTGACACAAACAGAGTAATACTGTGCATGCTGTTCAGTGTCAGGAGGGCTGTGATCAGTCTTACATCAGGGAAACTAAACAGCCACTGGCCAAAAGGATGGCCCAGCACAGAAGATCAACGTCATCAAGCCAGGACTCTGCGGTCTACACTCATCTCCAGGCCAGCGGTCACTCTTTCAGGGATGAAGATGTTCACATCCTGGATAGAGAGGAACGATGGTTTGAGAGAGGAGTGAAGGAGGCCATCTTTGTGAAGAGAACCCGTTCATCATTAAACAGGGGTGGAGGCCTCCATGTCCAACGGTCACCTTCTTACAATGCTGTTATTGCTAGTATCACTCAGCCCCCTGTGAATAGCAAACAACCATCAGTGTGCTAACGATCAGGTAGGCTGATGGTCCTCCTTTTGCATGTGAGCAACTAGTTTTGGGTTTCTCCATTAAACTGGTTGATCCACTATGAGAAGGTGCTATTTATAAGACTGAGGTTGTTGCAGTTCCTCAGTCTGAAAATATCTTTGGGATAAAAGATGAAACGTTTCAACAAAGAAGAATCCGTCAAGAGGACCTGACTTAACCTTGTTAAACCTTCAAATGTGTCTGAGTTCATTACCTTACATATCGATGAATTAGAAACCTTTACCGTTCATTTTGGATGCATGACACTGATGACACGGACCAGAAGTTATCAAATTCATCCCTGGCAAAACACTCCCAGACCATCACTCATCCCCCGCCGTGTTTCACTGAGGGGGTTACCGGGTCTATCCAACCTTCTGTCAGACCATTATTCCTCGGCCATTTGAACTCTGAACTCCTGAAAGACCTGAAATGGAGATTTACTAAAAGAAGTGTTTTCTTTGTATTTCTGCATTTTTGTTGTAGTTTTTTTTTTTAAATAAATAGCCGTTGTGCATTGTTATTAATCCTTTAATTCTTTATTTGCTCTTGTTTGACTACTTTTAGGACATGTTGCAAATGGCTCTCCAAATCTCACGCAAGCCATAAAATCATAACCGAAAAATTTATTCTCAAATTAAGTTTTTAATTTATCGGAGAAAGGTGTAACATAACTCGAGAGATTCTGACATTCTTTCATACATGCTTTCAGGCACCAGAATGCAAAACGTACGACAAAGTATTTAGTTGTTTGTGTTTCTTTGTAAAGAACGTTCCACAACACGTCTCTATATAAGTTCAACTACACCAAAATGATGCCATAAAGTCCTCACAGATGTAGTGATTTGGGTTTAAGTGTGTATTTGCATGCAAAGCTCTAAATAAATCACAAAATGAACAAGTGGCCCAGTTTTGGCTAAGATTCTCATTAGCAGTTGATTAATTCCAGTTATTTTGGGATTTTGTTAACTAAAAGATGTTTTAAATCAGCCCAAATGAGTGTCACACAGTTCTGAGAAGATTTGGACACAAGAATGCAGAGGAACACACATGAAGTAAAAAAAAACAAAAAACTTTATTCTAAACGAGAAAATAATGCTGTTGCGGCAGTGAAACTACAAACACAGGTTGGCACATGAGAGAGCCGGAATGCTTAATGCTCTGGTGAAAAAGAAGTGGTGAGTTAAATGGACGAACGAGGGAAACAGCTCCAGCTGTGACAGGTGAAACAGGAAGCAGGTGTGGGTGGGCGTGGCAGGAGCGAGGAACAGTCTAACTCACACTCATTAACAACAGCTCCTCATCAGACATGACACCTCGGCTGTCGTCTTCCTCTGTAAATCACCAGGTTCATCTTCTTCAGGGTAATGATGGTTTTTAACGATTTGACTCTTTAAAGGTGTGATTGTCCACGTCGAGGGCAAGCTGGTAATTTAAAGCCCACAAAGGGCGAGCGTGACGTCCACTGTCATCAAGCTGCCTCAAAACAAAAGCTTCCTTCTTCAAACAGATACTTGGATTAATCTCCAAGAAATGCTCAAACTGTGGAGTCAGATTACCTTTTGTAAATTCCTTCTACACAGCATTGCCCCAATAATCCTGTTTCATCCTGACTGTGGCTTTTTGCATTTTTCCAAATCAGAAAAGATTTGATGAAACTTATTACACAAATATCTGTTTAGTAGAAAGCTGAAGTGACCTGACGCTACACCCCAAAGATCGCTCCTTCTAAAAATAACAGCCTTAGCAATAACAGATTGCACAAGACCTTTGTTAAAAATATTGACATAACTATTTAGGCCACTCTGTCTGTCTGCTAGCAAAATATCTTATGAACCACTGGATGTTAAGCTGCTGTATTCATACACATCTGCTCACTACAGACTCATGTTCAGGCTGCTGTTTCTTCTTCTTCTTCTTTTGGCTTTTCCCTCTTCAGGGGTCGCCACAGTGAGTCATCCTCCTCCAACTCTCTCTGTCCTCTGCATCCTCTGTCCTCACTCCAACTACCTTCATGTCCTCTCTAACTGCATCCATATATCTCCTCATGGTCTTTTTCTTGGCAGCTGCATTTCTAACATCCTTCTACCAATATACCCACGGTCCCTCCTCTTGACATGTCCAAACCATCTCAGTCTGGCCTCTCTAACTTTATCTCCCAACTCAACTGTGCTGTACCTCTGATTATCTCATTCCTAATCTTATCCAGCCTTATCACTCCTAAGGAGAACCTTAGCATCTTCATTTCTGCCACTTCCAGTTCTTTCTCCTGTCTTTTTGTCAATGCCACTGTCTCCAGACCATACAATAGAGCTGGTCTCACCAATGTCTTGTAAACTTTTCCTTTGACCTTTGCTGACACCTTTTTGTCACAAATCACTCCTGAAACTTTTCTCCATCCACTCCATCCTGCCTGGACTCTCTTTTTCACTTATTTACCACATTCTCCATTTTCCTGGACAGTGGACCCCAAGTACTTGAAGTCCTGCACCTTTGTGACCTCTGCTCCTTGTAGCCTCACTGTTCCACCAGCCTCCCTCTCATTCACACTCATGTACTCTGTCTTACTACGGATGACTTTCATTCCTCTTCTTTCAAGTGCATACCTCCACCTCTCCAAGTTCTCTTCCACCTGTTCCCTGTTCTCACCACAGATCACAATGTCATCTGCAAACATCATCGTCTATGGGGATTCTTGCCTGACCTCATTTGTTAGTCGGTCCATCACCAGAGCAAACAAGAAGGGGCTCAGAGCCGATCCTTGATGCAATCCCACCTCCACCTTGAAGCTATTTGTCACTCCTACAG